ACAAACATACAGACTCTGTTCAATGTTATTCTAGCGCCCACCAAGTGCACATTCTAGCCAACAAGAGGTACAGTACAGTATTTGCTCGTGCGCCATAAAGAGCAAATTAAGTTACTGTGGTGTAACGAGAAATATCAAAACTGTTCAGTAGAATTATGCAGTAAGAAATTGATTATCTGTAAAACACTTTTGAAATTGTAACAATATAAATAATGGTGATGACAATGGCAAACTGATGTATAATCATGACATAGATAGTTTTTTATTTCCCTTTGACCTCGTGATGCTCTCTAAGGTCAGTATCTCACACAAAAAACGAATCATACTGATTACATTGTTGTAAAAAACAACTCCTTTATTAGAATCTAAGAACGACCTTTCCATATTAAGAATTTTGCCAATTTAAAATATATGACAGGAAGAAAGGTAAGTAAAAGTCTAAATCTAACAGATAATAATCATAGGTTTGCTTTGTAGTTTCATGTTTTTACCACTTAAGTCTAGTCATCGTAACATAATACAAATGTGGTAGAAATCTTTTTAGGTTTGCTTTGTAGTTTCATGTTTTTACCACTTAAGTCTAGTCATCCTAACACAATACAAATGTGGTAGAAATATTTTTAGGTTTGCTTTGTAGTTTCATGTTTTTACCAATTAAGTCTAGTCATCGTAACATAATACAAATGTGGTAGAAATCTTAAGCTGAATATAAAATAATTTATAATTAAATAATAAAGATTTTACGAGCTAAGAATGCGTTGAAAGAATCAATGTAGGTCTCTGGAAACCTATACAAAATTTAAACTCAGACAATACTAAAAATAAAATATACATAAATAATACTGATTTATAAAAAAGTTGTTAGATTTATTTTTGTAAGCTTTTTCGCACTATTGTCTATAAACATTCTTTATTAAATGCATGGTTCATCAAGAAGTTTCACAGTCTCCATAGTAGCCGTAAAACTTGACTTGATGTTCAGCCATCATCCAGTCAAATTCTGAATCTATTTCTGTACATAATTCAGCCGGAAGCTCAACGTAACCACACCTGTCGTAATAATAAAAATATTTTATGACTGAATCTCAAAGGTTTTTCATATCTACTTGTAATAAAAATTATTGAAAACAAATGCTACATGAAGTGATTTATTTAATTTTTAGTATGTTTTATGTCTTCTCAGAAGAATATAGCCTTAATTAGAGATAATAATTTATTATTGTAACAAAAGTATAAACTCATCAAAAAAAAAAAACATTACAAAGTTTACACTAGTTAATGCCAAGACACTTTCTTGAATAATGGCATACCGGTTTACAAGACGCACTTGATACTACATAGGTTCTCTTATAGTTACACACTAAAAATGTGTATATTTTTATATTAGAACTGTGTTTTATCAGTATGCCATACTATGTATTATACGTGTTATTATGGTAACACTGCAACTGTCGGTATTATATTCAATAAAGTCATTACCAGCATGTCATACTTTTCCTTGCAATAGTGAAAGATTGCAGTGTATTTAAAATTGAATACATTCTTCATAATGATGAACATATGCAACACAAAGCAATGAAACTAGACACTATTACCCATGTTTGGATGGATAAATCTGCAAGAAAAATCACAATGGGAAAGGGTGTTAAAATGGCCACTCTGATCTTGAGTTGTAGCTTAGCTACGCTCTTAGATTTTCAATAAAACAAACTAACAGGTATGTAAAAATTACCAAATTTGACAATCAAAAGCTTAATTATAAAAGACACACGAATTTTCATTAAGTTTCGTATTATTTGTCTAAGTTGAAATGAGTTTAAATATCTTATATCTTTCGCTGTTTGTCAGTTTGTTCTTAAATAATCGGTAAGATTTCACTTCAAATACATTTTTTTATATTACGCAATAACCTATATGAAAATGTCAGTAAGATATAAATTTTTTTTAATTTTTTAATAAAATTGATACTTAATTACTTCAATAATGAGTATATTGAATGAATTTATATGAATGAATGTAATTGATACATTAGTATTATTTAACAGAAACTTTTATTTCAATTCCTAGAGGTGAAAAAAGTGAATCAGCATGTTTTCTTTCGTCAATATTTTTGTTAGTTTATATTCTCTTGAAAAATGTATTCAGAGCTTTTACAGGAGTATTCACCAAAGACAAATTTCAGTGTAATCCTGCGATAGCCTCAAATATCATGTTTTCTTTCATGAAAATTTAAATACTGAAAGGAAGGAGATATCTATAAATTTCATTTGCCCGATCTTTCTCTAGTAGATAACAGCTGCCGTTTCGATTTAACTATCAAACGATCAATGATGACGTCAAATACATAGAACGCTTATGTCTAGGTATGATATAATGGAATAATATTGGTTAATATTCTGATAACTGGAAATTTTAAACTTTGTAGCTTGTACAAGTATTTTAGTGTGGTAAGTCTTAATAATTGTTATTAGAACTTGAACTAATGTGGAAAATGTATCTTTTGGGGGGGGGGTAGCTAAGACCTCGATAAAGTAATAATTGTAGTTTCAAAAATTATAAATTTAAAAACACTTGCGCTTTTTTGGCCATCTTTTAGAATTCTAAACTGATCACTAACCTTCCTCCTTGTAACAAGCCACTCATAACCAAATAACGCCGAACGAAATAGAAATGTCCAGTTTCAACTAACTCTCCTGGCCAGTCTTGACGGCGAGGTCTCTTGGCTGGGTCAAAGTTCAAAGCTTTTGTGCTTCCATCTATTAGAGTAAATTTATATGTATAGGTTTATGAAGTCATCAAGTAGTACCAATGCTATGATCATTTCTAATTTCTCAATCGATTCGTAAAAGTTACTGTAATATATTTTGCTGTATAACCAACGCTAGAGGATATAGTTTACGTCATCTCCTTCTCAGAAGGTTTCAGGTCGTTAAAGGTAAAAGTACTGACGGCATATATCTTGTATCGTAATTTTGTTTATTAGTTTCCTTTTACTATATACTGTTTTTTAGGTGAGACATTTGAATGAACAGCCTCGACAACAACAACAAAAAAAATCAAAATATTATTTATTAACACCCAATAATAAGCATGCAATCAAAAGGAAAAACTAACAGTGACTCCCTGTAATACACATGAGGATCTAGCAGTGACTATCACTGTAAATACAAGCTGATAGGAAGATCTAATCATGATTTCCAATAACAAACAAAAACTCATAAGGAAGGTTCAAATCGTTTGTTTCTAATAAAAACGCATTAACAAGGAAGATCCAGAATTGTTTCCTATAATAAATGTGCATTAATAAGGAAGACCTAAAAATTATTTCTCATAATAAATAAGCATTCATAAAGAAGGTCTATCAGTTACTTCATACATAAATATACACTATTATTATTATTAAGAAAGACCTAACAATGGCTCCTTATTACAAACATGTACCAATAAGAAAGACCTAACAATGGCTCCCTCTAACAAACATGTACCAATAAGAAAGACCTAACAATGGCTCCCTCTAATAAACATGTACTATTAAGAAAGGCCTAACAATGGCTCCCTCTAACAAACATGTACTAATAAGAAAGACCTAACAGTGGCTCCCTCTAATAAACATGTATTAATAAGAAAGACCTAACAGTGGCTATCTCTAATAAAAATGTACTAGGGAGTTTTATAAAGGGCATCCTAATTCACTTTAATTAATGATTGTGTATCTACAACTAAGACTATAGAAATATTTGTTGTTTTTTAAAGAAATAGCGGTATTATTCTCGTATATAGAAACAATGTTAAATCTCGAGAACAGTCGCACCATTGATCGAAACGTCGTACCTGTTCTACAAACAAATCTTACTAACTGTAAAAGTTATAACTTGTAATATATTGTTAAATCTCGTTAATAATACTTAAATAAGAATATACGTTAGAAACAATTAGTGTATTCCAACATAACTCTCAACCTTCGAAAACTTCGCTCCATCGCAGTTTATGCTGACGAGTGACCGAAAACACCGAATCGAAGTGGTTGTTTATGATCATGTCATGGGCGTTCTTTAAATAGTTCGGATGAATACAAGGAGATGTACACTGGACTAACGCCACCACTGTAACTTCTGTAAGCACCAAAAATCAAATAGTTTGTAAGTCCTATATTTCCATCATTTATGAAATGCATCGAGATTTCACTAAGTGTTAAGGATTAGAAGTTTTAAATATTTACTAAGTATTACTTCTCACTGAGTATCCAAATTATTAATTTCGATAATTAATATATTTTCGAAATTTGGAGCCCTTTAATATACCAGTTTATAATTTAAATTCATATTTAAGGTAAAATTTAATATGTAAAATTGTGCATTTATCATTAAACATGGGGGGGGGGGGTTGTGCCGGATCATACATCCAATATGTTTTTGCTTAATAGAAGAGAAGTATCCAGTTTGTAGATGAATCGTATGAAAAAAGTTTGCACAAAAAAGTGAAAAAGACTATTTACAAAAAATATGTAATAAAAAAAAAAACTCCCCTGTTTTGTAATTGAAAGATGAAACTCTTATGGTACATTTTAAGATGTGATGTTTGTGCTTTGCGCCCTCTCGTGCAAAGATTTGAATGTGACTTGCAGGCAGAATAATGAGTAGGAAAATTACCAATTTTTAAACACGCCAAACTGTGAAATACCAAAAACATGCTTAGTAAATGAAGAAAAAGGCGTAAACCGTGTAGTAAAAATGATGTTAAGGTTGGTGGAGTAAGTACTAATGATGATTAAGTTAACGATAGCTCAGCCTCAGTGAATATAACTGAAATGTGCCAGATTGTTAAAAATCGTTATTTGCCAGAATGTTGACCTTTACAACAGAAACTCGATTTATGTGAAAAAACAAAACAAAAAACAGTCCATGGCACAAGCAGATGAGAATATGAAGCATTTATGAAAGCTACTGTAAATATTGGTCTGTATCTTAGATTTACAAACACAACCGTAATCTACTTTCCTTAATTGTAAGATTCGAACCCTTTTTTCATACATATTAACATATGGTTAAGGAAAATTTTTACTGTCCTAGCTTTAAAAAAATGAGGATTTTTTGATGTGATTAAATCCGTAATATAATAGGAATCTTTGACAGTGCGTAACCAGATTTAAATATTTTAAATGTTTTTCAATCGCTATGTTTAATTTGCGACCAAAATAATTCTAAGTGTATGAATAACCTATAATTAAGCTTGAGTTGAATAACAAAGTATCCTATCTACCTGGATGATATTGAAGGAATTCTTGAACTGCTTCAACGGAGGTAGCACGATCCTGAGACGTACGTGGGGAACGCCAAAATATATTTGCTCCCCATTTGCTGGCTACTTCAGCAATATCATTATCATCAGTAGCTACCCACAGAGAATCAAATCCTGAATAAAAGTCCAAACAAGACGCTTCAACTTTATTAATACATTAAAAGTAGAACAAACAATGCCACAATAAACAGCAGGTTATGTTGTTATAATTCTGAGAACTTAGGAAGAAAAGTGAAGAAGAAAGTATAAGACAATCTCAACCACACTAGATTTGCTATATTCAGTGACAACGAGGCCTTTCGCTCAATATCAGGGCTCATCAGAAACGCTGCTAATATTATCAAACTACATTAAAATCAACAGTTATAACATAACTTAATGTTTAGGGACAACAAGGGACCTATTGATCCATCTCAGCTGTTCTATCCTCTAAACTAAGCTAAAACTATTTTTAAAAAATCTTAAAGTCAGCCCTTATCATTCATATAATTATCAAGCTTTCTCTTAAGCTCACTTAAATTTACTGCCCCCACAACATCTGAAGGCAACCCATTCCAGAGGCCAACCACCCTGTTAAAAAAATAAAACTGTCTTGGCTGAAGATGACTCCTACCTTGCCAAAATTTATATTTGTGTCCCCTAGTCCTACTATTCTCGCCGTTAAATATGGAAAAAGATTATGTATCAATTGCCTTTACAGTATTAAAAACCTCAATCATATCCCCTCTAAGTCTTCTTTTTTCAAGGGAAAACAAGTTCTCAGATTTAATAATTTAGTTTTATTATTTTTAATACTGATCTTTTATTATGAAGATTGTTTTGTATTGTTAGCTTAGTATCTCTTAAGCTGGTCGAACCTTGAGAGATATTATGGGGTTTACGACGGAAATTGTCGGTAACAGCTAGAATACCTAACTGATAAAACAATGCTCTGTGATATTTCTACGTAAGAACATAAGAAAACTATACATAGTTAGCTGCACTCATAACCGGGTTGACTTTTAGTTTAGCTCTAAGTAAATGATTTGCTCTGATTGGAAATTAATATTAATTACATAGAAACGTGTCTCAGGCTCTCTTGCCTTTCAGGGGGGCAAGGGGAGAACTCGGTCCTGGTTAACACCCGGCCCCGGCCAAAGTTTAGTGACCTGCTACTACGCGTGCATCCTTAGTAAAAACCAAAGACAATGAGTTTCAGAATGGGATACCAATATTATTTTAGAAACTAACAATAAATGCGAATCTAATTTTCCTGCGTTAATAATGCATATTCATATTCAAGTCACTAGGCATTGGTGTGTTTATTGCCTTTATTACAACTTTAATTTAACAAATCATTGTTGCAACAGAATTTCATATTTAAGAAAAAGTAATTTGAAATCCCTGAAATATGTCACCACTTGAAACTATAGAATATACAAGAAAACTGTTAAAACACTAGTAATAAAACATGCATATTCTATTATTCATATTCTTAACATACCTTTATAGTCTTTCATCGGCCGTAATACCCAAGCCAGAAGTGGAAGTCCATTCAGAATTTGAATGTTTTTCCTAGGAAGCTCACTACTTTTTCCTCGTGCGAGAACTAAACCAGCCGCATGCTCTTCCACTGTTGTGCCTTTTGTAATCATCATTATGATAGAAAAGTGAGCAAAACATATCTCGAAAAGTAAGCTGCTTTATTAATTACTGTGTTTTTGATGTAGCTTATGTGATAGCAGACGTTTAAGTACAGTTACATAAGGGTAATACTTAAGAAAAAATTATAATGATACTGTAGAAATTTCAAGTTGAAAATTCTACATCGCTTGCAACGCATTATATCTAAATTGGCGTCTCCAAGTTATCGATCCATAAAAAGAACATTCTGCCATCTACTGGCGGTTTATGACACAGCTAAAAATGAGATTAATTAAATCAAGGTCAGGTAAAGTATGTAAATAAATAACTATGATATATTTTTAGAAAACTGTCTCTGTACTACGAGACCCATTTGTTCATCAATATATTCCTTTTTGTTTCTGTACTTTTACAGGAATTCAAAGGTAGTGTTGCGTCATCGAGATCATGTGATTCTCACGCTCTCTACTTTCTAGAATGATCCTGTACTTTGGCGAATGTTCTAGTTCTTACTAGATATAGGGTAGGCGGGTATATATAAGAGGGGACAACGTGACGCGGGAATGTAATGTAATGTGTGCGTAGATAGTGAGTAACTGATCTGCAGTCAGAAGTATTATTGAGCACGTTCGTCGTTATAGCGTTTGTTTAACGCGATTGTTGAAGTTGAGTGTATCGGTAAAGTTGTATTCGGAAAGAATAAACCAGTTTTTATTAAGAAAGAACTTGTGTCGCTTAAGTTTCGTCGGAACGAAGTGACGGAAAATCAATTAACAAACGGAGACGTAACAGTAGAATAAACCAGCTCTGAAACGGAATACATTAGAGATTCGAATTTGCGACCCTCAGATTGTGAGTCAAGTACCCTAACCACCTGGCCATCCAAGCCCATTGCTGTAGTATTCTCAGGTGAAATTGATTGGTGCACAATTAGATAAGTCTGCTTTATAACAGGAACAGCAACCAGTAAATAGTGGGATGTTTAAGTTAGCTCCCTAGTCCATGTATATTTTCTCCAGTTCTTCGAGTTATCCTATTCTATTTTCAGCTAATACATCTGCAATGGTCTGTGCTAGAATATCAACCAATGCTTTGGCCCTTCATGAAGTAGTCGATGATGATGAGTGTGTAGCGAGGAACCTCTTTCAAGTACCGGGAGTGGACCAGACATCTTCATAAATGGATAAGATATTCCAAAAACACGCAGATGTACGTGTTATTTATGTTTTAGTATTGCTAAGAGGAACCATGACCAACTACTTACTTTGTAGTTTAATATCTTGATGTAAACTAGTTTTGGCATGATGATATAATATGAATTTACTTGTCAGAAGTCAGGATGCCATCAATTTTGTACAGATCACCAACACCGTTAGCTGAGAGACAGCCCCAAATTTGTATCTATCTCCCATCATGTTTCACTGAAGATGCTATACATTGGCTATGATAACGTTTTTTCACTGAACTTGATTCTTGCCAAACAATTTGAACTTTGATTCATCTGTAAAAACATAAGTTTAAAGCTTTTATTGATCCCACTGTATTTAGTATAATGTCCATTTTGGCCTTTTTGTTTGGTTACCTCTTCCAAGTACTGGTTTACGAGCAGCTACACATCCATTGAAAATATTTTGTGCTAATGTGTATCTTACTGTTCTCAATACAACATTCACATCACCATTTCACAGTCCTTGCATACAGCTCCTATTGAAACATGGAGCCTTGCTGTAATTTTTTTTGCATGGTGTATCTTTGATCAGTCAAAACTGAGATTTTGACACATTTGTCATGCAGTATTTTAGTCACAGAAACTATGACTGGATTCACACTGCTACTACTGGGCATAGTATGACTGCCTGTACTTTTATAGGCTTTGTACTACTGTGGCACATTGGTCCATTGTATGACAGCAAATCACATTGTAAATTATCAACAAATGACTGTATTCCGGTGCATTCATGTAACATTTGCCTTTTACACCATTTTCTTTATCACTTCCATAATTATTTTCAATTATGTAGGTTTATCAAATCGAAAAAAAATCTTGATTTTTATTACTTTTTTTCACTGTTTTGGTTGTCAACTGCTCAAGTAACTTTTGATATTAATATCAAACTAATCTTTTATATAAATACTACAAAAAGTTCACTGAACAGGTTTACACACCCAGAGTTTATTGCAAGAGAGAGATTTGGTTTGAATTTCGTGGTAAGCTAAACGAGAGCTATCAGTGCTAGCCTTTCCTAACTTAGCAGTGACAGTCTAGAGAGAAGGTAGCTAGTCAACACTACCCACCACTACTCTTTTACCAACAAATAATGAGATCAACTCTCACATTTTAATGCCCCCATGGCTGAAAAGACATATTCAGTGTTGGGATTTGAACCTATGACCGTCAGATTGTGAGTCAAGCACCTTAACCACCAGGCCATACCATGCCCCAGAGAAAGAAAGAACTAGCATAATAAATAAAGTGTTTTTAAAAACCCAGATTATTACATAAATATTAGTTTTTCAACTGGTGAAAGTGTTTTCTTTCTTTTTATATTAGGTCGTCAAGAAATTAATGTCGCTTTTTTTAGATGAAAAAATCCAAACAACTTGTATATCAAAACAAAATATTCACTAAATGAAATAGTCTCCATTATTATCGATGATGCTTTTCCATCTTACAATCAGGTTGTTAATGCCCTAATTAAAAAAATCACTTTGCTTTGAAGCAAGAAACATGTCGATGTCCTCTTTAATGCCTTCCACATTTCCACGCGTTTTCCCATTAAGATGGTGTTGCAGCGAACGAAATGATGGTAATCTGATGGTGCTAT